TTTTTAGCTCTTTGATCTAATCGCAAATTTTTAGACAGATGAGATCGCATTTCAAATCACGATTTTCCATACAAACTTTCAATCTCTTTTATACCTCTTTAGGGGTCAAAATCTAGAAAATGCTGAAACACGTTCTTAATCATTTTAGCTTTATAAAAAATCCTTAATTTTGAATCAGGTCTCTCCTTCAATACAGGGTCATTTGAGTTAAAGAACATTTAAAAACGTGCCTCTTGCTTACTTAATATATTTAAAAAACCACATCAAAATCCGTTAAGGGGTTTTTAAGATATAAGCATACATACATACAGACAGACACGAGAAGGGACTTTATTTTGATACTAGGTATACTATACTATAACAGCCAAAATAAAGTCCACTGCTAAAAATGGGCCAGAGGCCTCCCCCTAGTAGGGGGTATTTGCCATACTCGCCACGCTTGGCAGGCGGGTTGATGAGCACAATGCAAGATGTTGCAGTGCGATTGCGAAATTCATCCAGGGAACCCCTGAATGATTTTATGCCTTAGTCGCCTCTTACGACACCTACGGGAAAGATATGGGGTGATGACATTCTAAGCCGGCATTACACGGCATAAAAGATTTAAATTTAGCCGTTTATCGATACCTCCTTCCTCCCCTCTTTGTACAGCACAAAATAAATAGTTCTAAAAAAAAACTATCGCCTCTGACGTCAATTCCGTGTCTGATATATCAGACGTTGGCGTAAGAGACTGATGCATGATCGTGTCGCTATAGTGTTGTGGTGATATACCATGCAATTCTCTGGATTCGATGCAAAACATCATTCGAAAATAAATGCATTTTCTATGGTAAAACTTAGTAAAATTACGTCACACTAAAAATGTTTATGCCGAAAACAAAAACCTGTATGTGTATTATTAATTTCTTTGACGTTTCTTTTGAGAGTACCAGATTTCTGGTTATGGTAGTAACATTGTAATGTAACATCACTAAAGTCTGATATATCAGACATTGGCGCTGAGGGTTCAAGTAAAAAACGACTCAGTGTCCTCTTATAAATACGGTGTTGTTTTTGATAATTTATTATTAAAATAACATTATAATGGGCGTTTTTAAACGTCTGATATTTTTTTTTTGTTGTTATTTTAATCTACGATCAGTGCGGAGACTATAAGCAGATTTTTTGGGAGGTTTTTGATTGATTGGGTGTGACCTCCAATGAGGGCATCTACCCATTTTGTTTTTTTTAGCTTCATGCTGTGTTATTATGATGTATGACATTTATCATATGATATCTTTTCTTTTTAATCGCTTCTTGTAGCTACGTTTTGTTAACTGTGTTGCCAGCTCATTGGGATGATTCTCCAACCGCTTTCGATACTTTTCACCACAATTTTGAATTTCCTCTTTGACTGTGTTCATGTGGAGATTGTCGTGTATTTCATTAGTTGTAATGAACCATGGCACGTTGCTGATAGCTCTGAGAATAGCATTTTGCATTCTTTGCATAATACTTATGTTGGAATTACAAGCACTACCCCATAACTGAATGCCATACATCCAAGCAGGCTTTAATATCGTTTTGTAAATAAGGAGTTTGTTGTCAGTCGACAATTTGCTATTTCGACCCACTAACCAATACAGATTTCTGTATTTCATGTTAAGTTCGTCTCTTTTCTTCTTTATATGAGCCGTCCACGTCAATCGGCGGTCGAGGTGCATACCGAGGTATCTAACGCTATCTTGATGAGGGAGTGTAGTATTTTCTAACTGTACAGGCGGGCAATTGCCTTTCTTTAGCGTAAAAGTCACTTGGACTGATTTTGAAGCGCTGGCCTTGATTTTCCACTTCTTCAACCATTCTGTAACCGCATCAAGTCCTTCTTGTAATACTGTGGATGCTGCTGTCGGGTCTTTATTGCTAGCGAGTAGGGCAGTATCGTCAGCGAATGTTGCAGTGATAACCCCATCTACCTGTGGCAGGTCGGATGTGTATATTGTGTACAATACAGGGCCTAGTACTGACCCCTGCGGGACTCCAGATTTTATTTCGAAAAATCTTGACGTAGCTTCGCATTCTTTGACTTGAAAAATTCGGTCTGTCAGGTATGAGTTGATAACCGAAAAGTAACTGTGTGGTAGGCTTGATTTAATCTTACACAATAGCCCTCTGTGCCAGACCCGATCAAATGCCTGTTGAATGTCAAGAAAAGCCGAGGCACAGTATTCTTTATTTTCAAGTGTTTGTCTGATTTTGTCACAAACCCTGTGAACTTGTTCAACTGTTGAGTGTTGCGGTCTGAACCCGAATTGATGTTGTGGTATTATTTTATTAATATGCAGAATTGGTGTTATTCTATACAGAAGTAGTTTTTCAAATATCTTTGATAAGATCGGTAGCAGGCTGATAGGTCGGTAAGATTTTATATCATTGGCTGGTTTACCTAGCTTGTAAACCATCAGAATTTGAGACACTTTCCATAGCTGCGGGAAATATTGGACTCTTAATATGCCATTGAATAGCATGGTAAGGAAGACTGTAGCTTTTCTTGGGAGTTCTTTTAAGATCTCTTTGGTGATAAGATCAAAACCTGGTGCTTTTTTGTCTTTTAGGTTTGTTATGGTCTTCCACACTTCTCTTACTGATACTGGTTTAGGAGGAGGTGACAATTGGAAATCTTGGTTTAAAATTTCATCTATACTCGTGTAACTAGCTGAGTCGGTTTCATTTGGTGTGAACACTTTAGATAGATGTTCAGCGAAACAATTGGCCTTTTGTTGAGGTGTTCTTGCCCAGCCTTCATTAGTTCGTAGAGGAGGTTTGGCTTCTTGTGGCCTGTTAAAATTCTTAGTAAATTTCCATAAGGAGTAGTTAGTAGAAGCAGTGGCAGTCAAGGATTCCAATTTTGTTTCCAGAGTATCATTGTGCCATGTTTGCAGCATTTCCTTTAGTTCAGCGGCAGATTGATTGAATGCTACTCTGTCCACGGTTAGCCTACTAGTATGCCAAACACGGCGTAGTCTTCGCTTTTCTAATACAGCCTTTTTTATTTCCAAGGGTTTGTCAGTATGTCCCTTTTTGTGGTAAATTGTTGGGGTGCTGATCCAGCATGCTACTTGTATTAGGGATGTTATGTATTTAGTGGCTTCTTCAATGTCTTCAGGTGTTTTTAAGGCAACTTTAAGTATGATATTTTCTTCAATATAATTTCTGAATGATTCCCAATCTGTTTTCCTATTGTACAATGATTCTGGGAGCTCATATTCAATCAACATTGTACTGATTGTAAGGATTACTGGAGTGTGATCTGAGGAACTGTCATAACAAGGTTCTGGTTTGATATAGTGTCTTGATAATCCTTTAGCAATAAAAAAATCTAAGAGATCAGGTAGCTTTTTAGCATCTGTTGGCCAGTATGTTGGTTGTCCTGTGGATATCACGACTAAATTTTGTTGATCTATAGCTTGTTTAAGTTGTCGGCCTTTTGTGGTAATGAGCCGGGAACCCCAATGTGTATGTTTAGAATTCCAGTCGCCTCCGATCACATATCTAGTTCCTAGTGTTCCAAAGAAGTTAGTAAACATTTGCTCTGTTAATTTATGCCTTGGTGGACAGTAGACCGCGCTGACGTTAATCTGCCCAGTTTGGTCTTCCACAGTGACAGTAGTTGCTTGTATTGCATCGGATTTATATTCTGACCATAAGTGATGTCTGATACTCTTTTTTATTACAACTGCAGTACCACCGTGACCAGTGCCATCTGTATGTTGAGTTGTATAACATTGGAAGTCTTTAATCTTAACGGACGTTGATGCTGTGCAGTGGGCTTCTGAGACTAGCAATATGTCAAGGTTATGTTCTGCCAGAAGCAAAGTTACTTCATGCGTTTTGGGAGCAAGACCATTGACGTTCCAGGTGGACTTTGGCGCTCAAAAGGTTAATCTAAATACTAGCTTGTGCAGTGTGCACTATACGTAATTTTACTGTCCGGAATTTGCATAAGCCAATTCATTGGTTTTTCTGTGCCACTCCGGACCGTAAAAAATCGGATTGCCGGACGGTAAATTTCCTGGTATTGCTCAAACAACCATACGATCGGGTCTTTATACAAGACCGCAGAGTCGTTGTCACCGTCAAATTTTGACGGTCGGTTTATAAGGACACCTTTAGAGAAAACTAACAGCGCCATCTCTTGCCGTCGCAACTTACTTGTTTGCACTAAGTATTCCAGCGACCTCTCATCTACGGGGAAGTGAGCGACCGTGGCTCCAAACTCAGGGCACATGTTGGCTACTGTGGCTCTGTCAGCAATAGACAAAGCTTGCACTCCCGGACCGAAGAACTCCACGAATTTACCCACCACGCCCAGCGAACGGAGGTGCTGTGAAGAAAAAAATATATTTTAAAAAGTTATTTTAGTTGGAAACTAGCGGCCCATTAGCGATTCCACTTGCTGCAACTAATTTTACCGCGGTAAAAACACATTTTCCCGACATGTGTTATACTTATGAACCTTCCTCTTGCATCACTCTATCTATTGCAAAATCCGTTGCGTGGTTTAGGAGTAAGCGAATTCCACGACAGACAGACAGATAGACGCAAAAAGCGACTTCATTTATACCATGTATTGATATTCAAGAAGAAACTACAGTAGAAAAGACGACTCCCTTTTAGGGTTTCGTAGTCTACTAGAAACCCTTATAGTTTCGGTAAGTCTGTCTGTCTGTCGGTTTTTTCAATTGAGTTTTATAATCATAATAGTTAAACCGTTAGGGACTTACCACAAAAAAAGTTAGACAAATGTTGAACGCAATACAACAACAAAAAAAATCTGCATCTGTACTGCCGTCGCCACTACCAACTGGGTTACCGCAATTCTACCCTAGCCTGCGAAATAAGCAAGAATATCTTGTCCACGCGTGGCAGGGCTCCATCTACCGGGACAGTTTTGAAGCTATTTTTTTAGCATAAACTTTATTACCGGCTTATTTGCTTAATTCGCAAGCTAGGATAGAACCGCGTTAGCCCAGTTGGTAATGGCGTTGATAATACAGATGCCGAAGGCCGCAGGCTTAAATCCTGCCTGCGGTGAAAAAAAAACAAGTATTTAAAAAAAACTACTGATGTTTATGACTTATACGATTTATTCTACCTAAATCGAGCAAAATACTCCGGGAAAAAATTACCTTGGTAATGGTAAGAACCAAGTCTGTAGATGTAGCCAACGGGTTGAGTTCCCCATACAGCCTGTATCCGACTACTTTGGGCAGCAGCATGCTGATTGGTTGAGACAGCATCACTGCTTCAGCCTCAATACCTGGTAAAAAAAAGAAAAAAAATGTGAAGATATTTTTTACGGTTTATTTAATTTTGTCCGTTGCGGCTTTTTTTATTGAGAAGTACCTACATTGTAGGCTTTATCACAAAAAACTAGTATTTTCTGCACATTAAAGTCAAACGCATTTATTGCAGCAGTAGCTCCATTTTCTTAAAGTAGCGAATCGGTTATGACGGGAAAATTTGATGATTAAAAAATATTTTTAGTTGTTTATGAAAATTGTATACGGGGTGCCGTGGTTATACAGGGTGTAAGGTACGGTGTAACGAAAATTTTGCAACTCTGAACAACTTTCCCCATGGAGCTTATGGTGGTAAACGACAAAGTTTGTCGTTTAGAGCATATGTTGTTTACCACCATATGTTTTATAGGGAAAGTTGTTCAGATTTATGGTGTGAGCACGACTGCAAAGCTTTAGTTACACCTTCCCTTACACCCTGTACAAAAACGCTACTTCCCATCACGTTTTTTAATCAGACTTTTATCTCCTTTACAGACGTAAGTCCATTGAACTTTTGTATGGAAAACGGAACACCTTAAGTTATTGAATACTAAATTTATAACAAAATTAATAATAGCTTGGAGTGAGCCGCTGTAGCCCAGTTGGTAGAGGCGTCGCCAGTACAGATGGCGAAAATCGCTGGTTCAAATCCAGCCTGCGGTAAAAAATTTGCAAGTTTTCCTAAAACCTTAAGTTATGTTAAGTTTTTGTAAATATTGCTTACCTCCAACTCCCCAGCCGACCACTCCTAAACCGTTGATCATTGTGGTGTGGGAGTCTGTTCCTACCACCGAGTCGGGGAAAAGCAGCTCCGTAGTGAATACCACGCGCGCGAGGTATTCCAGGTTCACCTGAAAAGTAGATAAGTATAAGACTAATAAGAATAACAAGCAAATGTATTAAAAAACAAAAACCAGAAAAAAACAAAGTTTTGAATTTATGAATTTTTAATATAATTTAATAGGGCCTTATATAGCCAGCACCACTCGCGCTGCTGAGACAAATCTAAAACAAATTAGGGAAACTGCGCGCGGGGCGCCTATACAGATGGCTCACTCGGTAATACTGACGATTTTTACGCATACTGACTTTGACTGGAAATAACAGGAGGAGTACATTCAGTTCTTTTTTAAAATAGGAGAACAGAAATTCTTTCATAGCAACTTTTAAAAAATATCCATTTATGTATTTATTAGTTCGTAACCAGGTTACGAATAAATAAATAAGAAAATATCTTTATTTGTAACCGGTTACAAAACACAGTTAGATGCGCGGCCGAAAGGGAATCTCAGGGCAACTCAAGGTAAATAAGAAGACGATTGTTGCCACGAACGTCATATTTCTTGGATTAAAATTGTCTCAGAATCATATGATATGACCTTCTTGTATTACATTTTGCTGTTTTGATATTCTTATACTTTGAGGTTGTTGGCAGTAGCAACCGTGGCTATGTAACAAATCACAATCACGAAAATCCTAAATAGGGGCGAGTGAACCTTCTGTAAACTCTCTTTTTTGTGTAAAACACGTTATTTTTGTTATTAACTTTTTGGTTACAAGGTTAAACAAACGAAGGAAGTGGAAAAAATCCACGCCACCGATGGGATTCGAACCCACGTCTTCTGACAAGCCGGGTCAGACGTGTTGACTGCTACACCACGGTAGGCTCTAACCCAGGCAGCGAAAATTGTGAACCACTTGCTTCTATGGTAATTAACCAATGTTTTCCTCACCTGATGGACAATACCGGAGCCCGGAGGCACGATCAACATGTTGTCGAAAGCCTGAGCACCCCACTGGAAAAGAAACGAAAACTTAGACCTTAGACAAAATACGGGAAGAAATTGAAACAATATAGGGTGAATTTTTACTACTGACCGATAGTAAAAACTCAAAAACGGCTGATGATAAGGAACAACTTTCCCCAAGGAACATAGGTAGAAATATACTGAGTTATTTTTAGTCAGTGCGCAAACTTTGCAGGGTGTTTCTACTCGTGATTCTGAACGAGTTTTATTATGGTACCACCTGCGAATTCGCAAAAAAAAAATTCGATGTTCCATAGAAAAATTCATACATACTCGGCAAAAATGTATGGGAATACCAAAATTTTTTTTTAGATTTCGCAGGTGGCCCCATAGTAAAAGTTGTTCAGAATCACGAGTAGAAACAGCCTGCAAAGTTTGCGCACTGACTAAAAAATAACCCTGTATTTTTTTTCGTATTTCGACCTATGTTCCTTGGAGAAAGTTGTTCCTTATGACCAGCCAGTTCTGAGTTTTTGCTATCGGTCACTAGTAAAATTTCACCCTATACCGGGAGTAACGGAAAGGGTATAACAAGCCGAAAGGAGGTCAAGGCACTCATGAAACTGAACAACTTTCCCCATGGAACATTTTAAAGTTTCGATTTTCTTATGATTGATACCAGCAAGCCGCACAAAAACTATGTCGAACGATTCAATAAATGTTGCTGCATTTAGAAAAGTAGCAATTATTGCTGTAAACTGTTACAGTCTGAAAAAAATCGCAACCTTTCTTTTTGAATTGTTCATGAGTTAGCGTGAGTGTAGCCTTTTTGCATTTTTGTGCTTATTTATTGAAGTAAATTTTTACTAAAATGTTACATTTCTTTTTTGCAAAAATCAACATGCGTTCATTTCAACGTACCTTCAGAAACTGGAAACGCTCCTGGTTCCTTTTGAATTCCAATTCCTGATTCTTGTTCAGAGCATCGGGTCTGAAAAATAAATAAATGCTGGTTAGCAAAAGTATGCCGTGTAGAGACGACTTAGAATTAGCATCACCCTACATATCTTTCCTTTGGGTGACGTAAAAAGCGACTAAGGGATTTGAGAGTCGATGTGTATTGCTATTTTAGGCCACAGGCTGATAGAGTATATATAAGAATAATTTCAGAATACTGTGACCGTTTCTACCTACCCCTTAAAGGGAATAGGCGTGATATACGTATGTATGTTATTGTTACTATAAACCTGACTGAAGTGCCCCACTGCTGGGCAAAGGCCTCCTTCCCTTCCCCTTCTTCCACATTGAGTGTATGTATGTCAGCAAAAATCATTCTGCAGTAGTCAATGCGTGAGTCAATCAATATTCGAATCTGATTGATATAGAGAATGCAGCCTGTCTGTCTATCTGTCTGTAAGTGACACACTCTAGATCCATTTCTTGATTCAAGCTAACGTTTTACAATATGGAATATTGAATACCAAATTTTAAAACACTTCTCGTGTTAGGTAAACAATTTTTGGAAAACTTCCAAAATTTTCACCGCAGGCAGGATTTGAACCTGCGACCTTCGGCATCAGTACTGCCGACGCCCTAACCAACTGGGCTACCGCGGTTCTAATCGAGCCCGCGAAATTATGGAAGTATATCTTGTCCACTATCGCGTGGATGGGCTCCATCTACTGGGATAGTTTTTGCAACTAATTCCCAGCGACTAATTCATTCTTTACAGATTGAATGTAGTCAAAGCGATGAAAACCCGCGATAAATTGAATACCAAATTTTAAAACACTTCTCGTGTTAGGTAAACAATTTTTGGAAAACTTCCAAAATTTTCACCGCAGGCAGGATTTGAACCTGCGACCTTCGGCATCAGTACTGCCGACGCCCTAACCAACTGGGCTACCGCGGTTCTAATCGAGCCCGCGAAATTATGGAAGTATATCTTGTCCACTATCGCTATATAATTTTTGGAAGTTTCCCAAAAATTGTTTACCTAACACGAGAAGTGTTTTAAAATTTGGTATTCAATTTATCGCGGGTTTTCATCGCTTTGACTACATTCAATCTGTAAAGAATGAATTAGTCGCTGGGAATTAGTTGCAAAAACTATCCCAGTAGATGGAGCCCATCCACGCGATAGTGGACAAGATATACTTCCATAATTTCGCGGGCTCGATTAGAACCGCGGTAGCCCAGTTGGTTAGGGCGTCGGCAGTACTGATGCCGAAGGTCGCAGGTTCAAATCCTGCCTGCGGTGAAAATTTTGGAAGTTTTCCAAAAATATGGAATTTCCATATTTATATTATAATAGTATCATTTCAGTATCGTCTCGCGTTTTGGTTAGGACAATACTCACGATCTAGCAAAGTCCACTTGTACAGAGTGGTCTATGACCAGGTCGGCCGGGCAGATGGGGTTGATCTTGTCAGGGTTACCTCTTAGATCTCTGTCTACCCCGCAAGGGATACAAGTGTATTGTATACTCACGATCTAGCAAAGTCCACTTGTACAGAGTGGTCTATGACCAGGTCGGCTGGGCAGATGGGGTTGATCTTGTCAGGGTTACCTCTTAGATCTCTGTCTACCCCGCAAGGGATACAGGTGTGATTGTATACTCACGATCTAGCGAAATCCACTTGTACAGAGTGGTCTATGACCAGGTCAGCTGGGCAGATGGGGTTGATCTTGTCAGGGTTGCCACCAAGGTCTTTGACGGCGTCACGCATCACTGCAAAGTCTACCACCGCCGGGACTCCGGTCAGGTCCTGCAATTATAAAAAAAAACAATAATTAAGCCGTTTTACTTTTTTAATTAATTAAGTTGCCTTGCGGCGCAGGCTTAGAGTAGTATCACCCTGAAGTGGTATATGAAATGTATTTGTTGTATAATACCAAGTATGTCGACATTCTACCGTCTAACCTTCTAAAACAAACAACTTTACGCGAGTGCTCCGTAATAATCAGCAAAATTTAAGTGTTAAAAGTTGTTTTTCAAAAGATT